TGATTGGCGAGTGCATCGGCCTCGCTATTTTGTTCTCGAGGCACATGTTCCAGCGTCCACTCTTTGAAGCGGTGCAAAGTTACCTGTAGTTTGTCCAAGTACCGTTGCATTCTATCCTCTCGAACTTTGAAACTTTTGTTTACTTGGTTTACCACCAATAGAGAGTCGCACTTAGCTTCTATGACTTCTGCTCCCAAGGTTTTAGCTAGCTCGAGACCTGCAAATCATGGCCACATACTCGGCCTCATTGTTAGTTAATCTAGAAGTTTTAATAGATTGTCTAATGGTATCACCCGTGGGTGGCTTCAAAATTATGCCAAGTCCGGACCCCTGCACATTCGAGACACCGTCTGTGAATAGCGTCCATAACCCCGATGATGTACCCGAACTTAGCAGGAGTTCTTCTCCACTTCGGGTACGAGGGTCGGCGTAAAATTGGCCACGAAGTCAGCCAGGATTTGAGACTTGATTGCCGTTCGAGGTTGATATTCGATATCGTACCCGCTAAGTTCGACGGCCCATTTGGCCAATCGGACCGATAGCTCGGGCTTATGTAAAACATTTCGAAGAGGGTAAGTGGTTAATACACATATAGGATGACATTGAAAATATGGTTTTAGCTTCCGAGATGCGCTTATTAATGCAAGTGCTAATTTTTCTAAGTGAGAGTACCTTGTTTCAGCATCTCCTAGAGTTCGGCTCACGTAGTAAACAGGAAATTGCGTACCTTGCTCTTCTAGAACTACTACCCCACTTACCGCTATCTCTGACACAGCTAAATATAGGTAAAGTTTTTCATATGCCTTCGGAGCATGAAGCAAAAGAGGGCTCGATAAGTACCGCTTTAGTTCCTCCAGGGCTCGTTGGCATTCCGGGGTCCATGCAAAATCCTTTTTCTTTTTTGGCAAGGAGAAGAAACAGTGACTTCAATCGGACGACCACGAAATGAACCGACCCAAAGCAGCTATTCGCCCTGTTAGCCTTTGCACGGCCTTCACGCTATCCACGATTGTGATATCCTCGATTGCCTTGATCTTATCGGGGTTAATCTCGATTCCTCGATTCGACACCATGAAGCCGAGCAACTTACCCGAGCCGACTTTGAAGGCACACTTTTCCGGGTTAAGCTTCATGTTGTATTTCCTCAAGATTTCGAATGTTTCCTGCAAATGAGCTAAATGGTCCTCTGCGCGCAGGGACTTAACCAATATATCATCAATATAAACTTCCATTGTTTTACCTATTTGTTCTTCGAACATTTTGTTGACTAGGCATTGGTATGTAGCTCTTGCATTTCTTAGCCCGAAGGGCATTACGTTGTAACAATAAGTGCCAAATTTAGTAATAAATGAAGTCTTATCCTGGTCCTCCGGGTTCATCTAAATTTGATTGTACCCGGAGTAGGCATCGAGAAAAGTTAGGGTCTCGTGGCCAGCCGTGGCATCGATCATTCCATCGATGTTTGGCAATGGGAAAGAATCTTTCGGACATGCTTTGTTCAAGTCCTTATAGTCTACACACATTCTAAGCTTGTTTTCCTTTTTAGGAACTACAACTACGTTGGCTAACCACTCGGGGTACTTTACCTCCCGAATGGATCCTATTTTAAGAAGTTTGGCTACCTCGTCTTTTATGAAGGCATGTTTTACCTCGGACTGAGGCCTCCTTTTTTGCTTCACCGGTTTGAACCTGGGATCGGTGCTCAGCCGATGTGTGGTGATTTTCGGTGGAAGCCCTGTCATATCTAAATGGGACCAAGCAAAGCAATCCATATTATCAATAAGAAATTGAATGAGTTTTTTCCTGAGTACGGGAGTGAATATCGTTCCCAGGTATACCTTTCTCTTGGGCAAGTATTCGATAAGTATGACCTGCTCCAGTTCCTCGACAGTTGACTTGGTTGCATCGGACTCTTTGGGAACGACGAAGGTTCGAGGAGTAAGGAGATCATCTTCGATTACCTATTGTTCCGCTGTTGGTTCAGTATGTCGAGCATTTTCAGGTTCAGCTACGCTCGGAGTCTTATTCTGACTTTGAAGTTGAGCGATGGCGATTTGCTGAGCTTGCAGCATCTTGAATATCACTTGGAGGCCGATTCCTCTATCTCCCATTCATCTTGCTCCTTGGCCACCAGATCGGGCTTCCCTGCGTTCATTCCCTAAAGGGTCTGTGCCTGAATCCACGTTTAGAGCATTATGTGAACTGATATCAGCTAGCTCCATATTTGGCACTTTCTCAGGGTTTATTGGTGGTACACTGACCCCTATACTATTGTTTTCTCCAAGACCTTCGTTGTCATGAACAGGTGCATTTTGTGAGCTACACATGTTTCAGCCTGAGAATTCAAAAATTCTTGACAAGAAAAAGTGTAAAAATAACGTGCGTAATAAGAATCAGTAAAAAAACAATCACTATTATCTTTAGCCCCACGGTGGGCGCCAAACTGTTTACCTCGAAAATACGAATAACAATTAAATTTGATTTGTGGTTTTAAAGATACGTGATTAGATTCAATACCAATTAATAATCAAGAAATATGAAGTAGAAATGAAAGAGACAAGTGAATCAAACCAATGTTGCTTGACAGCGGTGACCTCGAGCTTAGTGACCTCGAGGTGGGCTTAGAACAACAAGAACGATTAAGTAAGAAAAGTAAAGTAAGAACAGTAAAGTTAAGGGACAATCCTGATGAACAGTAGGCAAAAGCAGAGAGTATTATTCTTTTCTCAATGATTATGTGTTGTTACAAATGATTGGGGTCCCCTTTATATAATAGGGGAATCCTAAATATGGAATATTTCTATTTACAGTAGGGAATATTCCTGATACAGCTGTCTAACCGCCTAGTATGGAATCGTACAATCCTATTCCGGGATTTGCGCCATGATTTTTGGGGACGTGGCAGGAGTCTAGCTCACTCTGTTACAAATTCATAACGGTACTATTTCGGGGTCTAGCATACTTGGCCCCGGTATTCCTCGTACTCCTGTCTTCGGGCATTGCACTCTGTCTTTGAGCTCGATTCTGGTCCATTGGTCTCGAACTCGACCTCACCCGAACTCGGGCCTATGACGGACCCTCGAGCCTATAAATCGGAGGCATATGATTTTGACCGTATACATTAGTACTAGGGCAAAAGTTAAAGGGATCTTTACATAAGTAGCCAGGAGATTCACTTTTTTTTTAGCTGGTATACATATATTATACATTAATTATGCAGAGTTATATACATATTATACATAAATTATACATATATTATATATTTTTCGGCTATTTTAAGTTTAAGTAATTCGATGGCCGGCTATTTAGGTTAATTTTTCAAAGTTAAAGTTTTAAATGGGTGGAGCATGCCTCGCCTCGCCTTGTCCTGTCTCGTTTAGCATTCAGGCTCTACCTCTCACCTATCTCTATATATGCTTCTTTTATTTTAATTAAAAATCTTATTGTATCTACAGACTTGTTTCAACTTTTTCCTCGAACGAATTTTCTTAATTAATTAAGATTTAAAATTTTCATAAGAAGAACAAAATATCCTGCTTATTTCAAGTATCTTAATAAAAAAAAGTGAGAAGTTCAAGTTGCCAAGAACCTCATATCTTCACACATAACGAAGGCTTGTCTATTTTTGAAAACATAACTTCATAAAAGTCAAAATCCCTACCAGTGTGTCTTCAAACATGTTATATCGTCCCTTCAACAGACGATAATGTTTTAAATTGATTCGCAGTTCTAAATTTCTTATCACTTGTCGAAAATATTTTTCCTTGTTATTTATCTTTGCCAACAAACTTTATACCAAAAAAGGTAAATTAAATTTTTGGTCAAATTCTCGTGGAGGCAAAAATACTACGTGATTTTTCTCATATATTCTAGCATTGGAGGATAATGTTTTCCGGTGCTTGTGTTGGTAGGAGGTAGCAAAAAATTAATCGAAGTGCGCGTAAGCTAACCCAAACACCACGTCTATTAAAAAAACTTTGCAAACCATATAACTTTATTTTTTCAGCGACTACACTAAACGCCTGCTACATCACATTGATATTGTTGATTTAACCAATCATCACCATAATATAGATTTACAAAATTTATCTAAAGCACCATATAAATCTCTTGGATGTGAAAAAAAAAAGATTGCATCACACTTTCAACTATTCTTCAAATAAGTACTAATACTATCTCCAAATAAGAAAGATTGCATCACACTTGCCTGCCTATTTTGTTCTTAAATTTTTAGTTAGTATTTGCCCTAGCATTGTCAAATTAATTGCATTAGTGATAGCTTTGTCTACTTGTTTATATTGTTATCTACATGTTTACATCTTTATTTTGAATCTTTATTTCAAATATCCCCTAGTAGTTCTATTCTAGTTTTGCACATTTTCTTTGTGACCTTTAGTTGTAGATTATAGCCCCCTTTACCTCTTGTATTGTATTTCTTCACCTATTTTTCTATCTTTTAGTTGTAGATTATAGTTCCTTTGTTTTATTTTTTTACCTGTTTTTCTGACCTTTCGCTGTAGATTATAGTTTCCGTTAGTTCCTTTATTTTATTTCTTCACCTGTTTTGCGACCTTTAGTGGTAGATTATATTTCGGTAACTCATTTTGTTTTGTCGCTTGTTTTCGGATAGTGCTTGCGTAGTGACTCCTAAGTTGCTTTGGTTAACGATAGTAGGGTAAGGTTTTGTCCTCGGGATTGTCAGCACAGGGGAGGGGTGCAGGGGGTAAGAGGGCTAAGGGAGCTACTAGGCTGAGAGTTGGGTCTTGGAACATAGGAACTTTGACAGAAAAATCTGTAGAGTTAGCGAAGATTCTCGAGAAAAGGAAGATTAATATAGCTTGTTTACAGAAGACTAGGTGGGTCGGAGATAAGGCGTGGGATGTGGGCAGTTTCAAACTTTGGTATTCTGGGAGGGTAGGGACAGGAACGGGGTAGGTATCTTGGTTGATAAGGACCTTCGTGAACTAGTGGTGGAGGTTAGGAAGGTGAATGACAGGCTGATGACTATTAAGCTAGTTGTTGGAGGTCATACTTTAAACATAATCAGTGCGTACGCACCCCAAGAAGGCTTGGATGAGGAAGTCAAAAGGTGTTTCTGGGAGGATTTGGATGAGATGATGCGAGATATCCTGCATACCGAGAAGCTTTTCATAGGAGGAGATTTCAATGGCCACATTGGAGCAACGTCTCGGGGGTATGATGATGTGCACGGTGGCTTTGGTTTTGGAGATAGAAACGAATGAGGAACGTCTCTGCTGGACTTTGCTAGAGCATTTGATTTGGTAATAAAAAACTCGAGTTTCCCGAAGAAGAGGGAGCACTTGGTCACCTTCCGGAGTTCGGTGGCCGAGACTCAAATTGATTATTTAATCTGCAGGAAGTCCGATAGAGGTCTTTGCATGGATTGCAAGGTCATTCTGAGTGAGAACCACTCGACCTTCATAGGCTCCTGGTCATGGACCTTGAGATCACGAGGAAGAGGAGGAAGAGGGCGACGTATAGCCAACATAGGATCAAGTGGGGAGCCTTGATGGAAGCTAAAACGTAGGACTTGGGGGTCAAGTTTGTGACTATAGGGGCTTGGAGGAGTAGTGGGGACTCAAGCGCTACGTGGACCGTGACTGTGCAGTGTATTAAGGAAACCACGAGAGAGATATTAGGGGTCTCAAAGGGTCACTCTGGTGGTCACAAGGGAGACTGGTGGTGGACTGGGGAGGTGCAAGGAAAAGTGAAAACCAAGAAAGAAACGTATCTGAATCTAGTAGAAAGTGTAGACGAGGAGGAGAAAAGGGCGAATAGGGAGCATTATAAGTTGGATAAGAAAGAGGCAAAGCTAGGAGTTACGGCGGCCAAGACTGCAACTTTTAGTAATTTTGTATGAGGAACTCGAGGGCCGAGGTGGGAATAAGAGGTTGTTCAGGTTAGCCAAGGCGCGGGAAAGGAAGTCGTGTGACTTGGACCAAGTGAAGTGCGTCAAGGATGAAGAAGGTAGAGTTTTGTTGGATGAAAGGCTTATTCGTCGAAGATGGCAGACCTACTTCCATAGTCTCTTGAACGAGGAGGGGGATATGAACATTGTACTGGGTGATTTGGAACTCTCCAGGAGTCGTTGTTACTTTAGGTATTGTAGGCGGATTAGAGTTGATGAATTTGAGGGGGCTATGCGTAAGATGAGCAGGGGCAAAGCGACCGGTCCGAATGAAATTCTGGTGGAGGTTTGGAAGAATGTGGGCAAGGCAGGCTTGGAGTGGCTCACTAGGTTATTTAATGCCATTTTTAGAATGAAGAAGATGCCCCAAGAGTGGAGGTGGAGCACGATGGTTCCTGTATACAAGAACAAGGGTGATATCCAAAATTGCAATAAATATCGAGGTATCAAGTTGCTTATCCATACTATAAAAGTCTGGGAGAGATTGGTAGAGATAAGGGTGAAGAGGAGTGCGTCTATTTCCAAGAACTAGTTTGGGTTTATGCCGGGGCGTTTGATTACAGAAGCCATCCACCTTGTTAGGAGATTGATGGAGCAGCGTAAGGAGAGAAAGAAGGACTTGCATATGGTGTTCATCGACTTAGAAAAGACGTACGATAAAGAGAGGTTTTGTGGAGATGTTTGGAGGCTAGAGGTGTACCTGTTTCCTACGTTAGGTTGATTAAGGACATGTATGATGGAGTAAAGACCCGATTGAGGATGGTAGGTGGGGACTCAGACCATTTTCCGGTTATGATGGGGTTGCATAAGGGGTCGGCACTCAGCCCTTTTTTGTTTGCTCTGGTGATGGACGTACTGATGCTCCACATCCAAGCGGAGGTACCGTGGTGCATGCTATTTACAGATGATATTGTATTGATAGACGAATTGCGAGACAGTGTGAACACGCAATTAGACGTATGGAGTCAGACCCTGGAATCTAACGGTTTCAAGTTGAGCAGGACCAAGACAGAATACTTGGAGAGTACGTTCAGTGGCAAGACTCAAGGAGGGTAAGGGGAGGTGAGGCTGGACTCGCAGGTCATCCCTAGGAGAGGGAGTATTAAGTACCTTTGTTCTATTATTCAGGGGGATAGGGAGATTGATGAAGATGTCACACATTGTATTGGGGCGGGATAGATGAAATGGAGATTCGCCTCTGGTATTATGTATGACAAGAAGGTGACACCGAAACTTAAGAGTAAATTCTACAGAGTGGTAGTCATACCAACGATATTTTATGGGACTGAGTGTTGGCCAGTCAAGTTCGCTCATGTTCAGAAGATGAAGGTAGCAGGATGAGGATGTTAAGATGGATGTGCGGGCACACCAGGTTAGATAGGATCAGAAATGAGGTTATTCGCGACAAGGTGGTGTGGCCCCTATTGAGGACAAGATGCGGGAAGCGCGGCTTAGGTGGTTTGGTCATGTGAGGAGGAGGAGCTAAAACACCGGTGAGGAGGTGCGAGAGGTTGACATTGGAGAGCCTACGGAAAAGTAGAGGTAGGCCAAAGAAGAGGTGGGGAGAGGTGATTAGGAAAGACATGACACAGCTTCAGCTGACCGAGGATATGACCCTTGATAGGAAGGTATGGAGGTCGAGGATTAGGGTAGTAGAGTAGGTAGTCTAGAGTGTTCATAACAGTAGTATTGGCATGCATTCTTACTTTCTGTTGGTAGTAGGTTTTTCTGCCTAACCGTTGTTTCTTTCATTGTTGATCACCTTACTGTCTTATTGTTTTTATTTTGCTTTTATATGGCTTTTTGGTACTGTCCCTTCTTGTCTATATTTTCATTAATGTGGTGCTTGTGCTTTCCTGAGCTGAGGGTCTATTGGAAACAACCTCTCTACCTCACAAGGTAGAGGTAAGGTCTGCGTACATACTACCCTCCCCAAACCCCACGGTGTGGGATAATACTGGGTATGTTGTTGTTGTCGTACGTCTGAGTTCAAAGGGAGGTCATCAATTGTAACAACTTATCCATTAGATCTATCGTACAAATCATAACCAATCCAAAAACAGAGTTTTTGTCATCAGCTTTCATCATATGTTGTAGTAGCTTTCATATGGATATACACTTTAGTGATAGGGCTTCTTTGGGCCAGTCTCATTTGAGATCTGCTGCAATCCTCTCGGCCCCATAGACCACTAAATTGTAAAAATAAGCCCCGAATGCCAGTTTCTGGACCGCTTATGTTGGTATTTAGCAACCGTTTAAAATATAATTTTATAAATAGCCACTTTTTAAGGCAAAAATAATATTTGGACAAAGAAAACCCCTAGCTAAGACACAAAACTTCGATTAGTGGTACGAAATATAGCTACTTGCCCATTTCCTTCATACTAAATTGGATCATCTGCTAAAATTTAACGTTTTGTAAATTGTTTTACTAACCTGTTAAATTTTATTACCATAATTGCACTAAAATTTTATTACCATAATTGCACTAAAATTAATAGGGCTAGCAATCTAAGCCCAAACACATTTGAATCGTCCAACCCGTCCAAGGTTGGGTTGTTCACTGACCCGTCCATTTGTTGAACTCAGTCCATGTTGACCAAACCCATTTCAGCCCAACTTTAGCCCAAATTGATTCATGAGTTAATTTGCTAAAATATCTTAAAATAACTTATTTTTTGTTTGATATGTCATATATGACCATAACAAAAGAAATTAGATAACTAAACAATTCATAAAAAATTAGTACACATTAGTTAAAGTTTGGTAAGAGATATGGGGTTGGGCTATAACCCAAACTTTAGCCCAACTTGATCCAACTCATCTCAGCCCAAGTTACTTTTGGGCGGGTCAATGAACCGCTCATTTATTGGCTCAACTCATTTTGACTCGCCCAAAATTAGCCCAATCCCGCTCATTTGATACCCCTACAATTTAACTAGGCAGAGTAGGGCAAACGTTAAATGAGGTGGAACAGAGCAGAGTGTATGGGCTACAAATATTGTTTCAACCTTTTTCTCGAATGAATTTACTTCTTAATTTATTAATATTTAAATTTCCAAATGAAGAAAAAATATCCTTGCTTATTTCAAGAATCATATAAAAAGTGAAAAGTTCAAGTTGCCAAGAACCCAACATTTTCACACATAACAAAAGCCTGTCTGTCTATTTTTGAAAACATAACTTCATAAAAGTCAAACTCAATACAAATTTGTGTTCAAACATGTTATTGTCCCTTCGTACAGACGATAATGTTGTAAATTAATTCGCAAATTAAAATTTTGTTCCACTTGTATAAATTGTTTTTGCTTGTTCCTTATCTCTCTGCCAACAAAAAAAAAAAAAAAAAAA